TTTTTATTAAAGAATTATAAATACTTCGATAAACATATTTAAATAATTTAGGTGCCAATTAAGGCCTTGATTAAAAAAAAAAAAAAAAGAATGATTTTTTAATTATTTTTATTGATCCGCGGAAACCCTGGTTCATCTCGCGCATGCTATGTACGATCTCCAAGAACTCAGAGCGGCGTGCGGTGTGCAGCCACAGCGGAGGATGTATGCTTTGCTTTGTGCAGGCGGTCTGGAGCTTCTGGATTTCGGGGTAAAACTCCTCTTGGACGCGATGGCGACTCTGCATCGAACAAGACGAACTCAAAGAAGAAATGCTAGCGGTAAATATATGTTTAGCCTGCTAGGCTAAACGCGGCCTAGCCTGAGCTACGGCTAATAGTAGCCTAGCCTAAGCTACCGCTAACAGTAGCCTTGCAAGAACAAGCTTTATTAAAGTGTATTTTTTGTGATTTACAGGAAGCAGTATGCCGTCTTCACAACTCAGAGACTAATTGCAGGCGCTATGAACCGGAGCAAGGGTAAGATTTAAAGAACATGCTTTCATTCTGCGGTAAAAGGCAATGGATATGGATGGATACCGATCATAGCTTTACATTTTGTTTTCGCAGACCTCCTATTTGCTCTGAGCCATCTCGGCAAGTCCAGATTTGCACGATGTTGATAAAGACGACATTGTGTGTAAGTGACTTGTTATAATGTTTTCTCCTTCCTTGTTACTGTGACTTGCGTTTGATTTTTTATTCATACCACTCTCATTTGATTGTTTTCCAGCTGCCTGTAAGACGTATTTTCAGACGGTACGCAGGAGCTTCAGATATACGCTGCTAGCCAACACGCTGCGTGCGGAGGCTATCTGCTCGGAGTCGGGCCAGAAGAAAGAGGGTAAGACTTTATTTGGTGGCTATTTTTCAGGTGCATTAATAGATGTGTTGTGTCCATACGCAGTGCGCTGATTCATTGTTTTTTTTTTTTCAGCTGCTGAAAGCGAGGCAGAGTGTGCGAGCAGATGAGGAAGTGGAACTCTGGAAGTCCGCCGTCGTCGGCGGTGTCTCTGGATGGATTGTACGGTCGGCGCCATTTCGTAGGCCGGATCTCACTGAACTCTGTGTTAAGCTGCAGTCCCGGTTAGAAGCGATGCCGAAGTACAGGGCCACGCACAGTAGGCGTCTGCACATCGGACCTGCCTCGGAGGGAATGCTGCCAGTTACCTCCAACCCCGAGGAAGCAAACGGACTTGTAATTTTTAGAAACGCATGTGTTTGGATACGCGTTGTATATAGTTGTGTGTGTTTTAATAAAGCTCTTTCTTTGCATAAACAGCTTCCCGGCAAATCTTCATTTCCTGTATAAATTCATTCATGTCCTTGATGGTAGCATAATAATTGTGTAGTAGTGTAGGATAACAAATACACACCATATGAATGAATAAATATATGAATGAATATATATATATATATATATATATATATATATATATATATATATATATATATATATATATATGAATAAATATATATATGTAAATTTATATGTAAATATATATATATATGCCAACCAATCACGAGCGACTTTACTTGTTTGAGAATAGTGGTTTCAGCCAATACTGAGAAGGTTATTCAAGCCAGACCTGGCCAGCCGCGCGGGTTTGCTGCATTCATATGCTAATTAGGGCCATTAGTACAGCTGATCGCTCTCCACCTACGTCACTGTCCGTTTCCGACAATTTGTGGCACGACAAACGCGGACAAGCACGGGTTGCAAATTGTCGGAAACTGACGAAAATCAGGCAGATCTGCGGGAGTTTACGGGGGTTTACGGGGACGAAAATCTCACTTTTCATGCAGTGCAAAGCAGAGCCTACAGCCTCCACAGTTCCTCCCATTCAGTTTCGCTCAGACTTCCTCTGAGCTCAGGGAGAGCAGCGCCATATTATTATTATTATTATTATTATTAAATTCATAGGAAATAAATGCTTCATTTAATCTGACATGATTAAAACTATAAGTAATCAATCACTTTTCTGGGCAAACATGTTATTTTCATTGTGGATGTTAGTAACAGAGGATAATGAGGATCATCCATCATTGGTTTGTTCTCTGCCTCCAATCTCAGCATCTCTCCATCCAGGTCTGGGATTTTATCTTGAAGTTATCAGATTAGCTCTTAGATGTTGTTGTGGATTTAATTAAACTTTTAAGCCTCTGAGTATAAAATAAATATTCTGATCTAGATGAGAAACCTGGTTTATTAATAATTTAATTAAATGTTCTTAGTTTGTGGGAATATATCAAACTTATGCTTTTATTTGTATTTACTGATCTGTCATTACTATATTTTAATTAGTCAAACTGTTCCCTCACTTTTCTATTTCTCTGCTCATCTATGCAAGGTAGCTCTATGACGTTGTTTAAGGTTGCTATCATCTAATGCCATACTACGTTTATGAAGCAAATAATGAGGTATTTTGTACTAATCTATGAAATAATTTCTATATCTTTGGTTTTAGTCTGTGTCTAGCAGGACGTCTCAAAGGAAGCATCAGAGCTCGTGTCTCTGGACTCGTCCCATCATCTCCCAGAGGCTGAGTTCATCCCATCTGCTGAGTATTAATGACTGGATACGCCTCACATCGATCAATGTTATGATGTTGCTTTAGTTAATAAGGAAAATTACAGAACAACAGAAGTTGCACATGGACAGATCTTGTTCTACACTGTAAAAAAAAACGGCCTCATTTTACGGTAAAAAACTGGCAGCTGAGTTGCCAGAAGTTTACCGTCTTTATACGGTAAAATTCTGGCAACCAAAACTGCCAGTTTTTTACCGTATTTGCTAAATGCAGGATTTTACCGTATTTCTAAAATACGGTAAAATTCTGGCAACCACAGCTGCCAGTTTTTTACCGTATTTGCTAAATGCAGGATTTTACCGTATTTTTAATATACGGTAAAATTCTGGCAACCACAGCTGCCAGCTTTTTACCGTATTTGCTAAATGCAGGATTTTACCGTATTTTTAATATACGGTAAAATTCTGGCAACCACAGCTGCCAGTTTTTTACCGTATTTGCTAAATGCAGGATTTTACCGTATTTTTAATATACGGTAAAATTCTGGCAACCACAGCTGCCAGTTTTTTACCGTATTTGCTAAATGCAGGATTTTACCGTATTTTTAATATACGGTAAAATTCTGGCAACCACAGCTGCCAGTTTTTTACCGTATTTGCTAAATGCAGGATTTTACCGTATTTTTAATATACGGTAAAATTCTGGCAACCACAGCTGCCAGCTTTTTACCGTATTTGCTAAATGCAGGATTTTACCGTATTTTTAATATACGGTAAAATTCTGGCAACCACAGCTGCCAGTTTTTTACCGTATTTTTAAAATACGGTAAAATTCTGGCAACCACAGCTGCCAGTTTTTTACCGTATTTGCTAAATGCAGGATTTTACCGTATTTTTAAAATACGGTAAAATTCTGGCAACCACAGCTGCCAGTTTTTTACCGTATTTGCTAAATGCAGGATTTTACCGTATTTTTAATATACGGTAAAATTCTGGCAACCACAGCTGCCAGTTTTTTACCGTATTTGCTAAATGCAGGATTTTACCGTATTTTTAAAATACGGTAAAATTCTGGCAACCACAGCTGCCAGTTTTTTACCGTATTTGCTAAATGCAGGATTTTACCGTATTTTTAAAATACGGTAAAATTCTGGCAACCACAGCTGCCAGTTTTTTACCGTATTTGCTAAATGCAGGATTTTACCGTATTTTTAAAATACGGTAAAATTCTGGCAACCACAGCTGCCAGTTTTTTACCGTATTTGCTAAATGCAGGATTTTACCGTATTTTTAATATACGGTAAAATTCTGGCAACCACAGCTGCCAGTTTTTTACCGTATTTGCTAAATGCAGGATTTTACCGTATTTTTAATATACGGTAAAATTCTGGCAACCACAGCTGCCAGTTTTTTACCGTATTTGCTAAATGCAGGATTTTACCGTATTTTTAATATACGGTAAAATTCTGGCAACCACAGCTGCCAGCTTTTTACCGTATTTGCTAAATGCAGGATTTTACCGTATTTTTAATATACGGTAAAATTCTGGCAACCACAGCTGCCAGTTTTTTACCGTATTTGCTAAATGCAGGATTTTACCGTATTTTTAAAATACGGTAAAATTCTGGCAACCACAGCTGCCAGTTTTTTACCGTATTTGCTAAATGCAGGATTTTACCGTATTTTTAATATACGGTAAAATTCTGGCAACCACAGCTGCCAGTTTTTTACCGTATTTGCTAAATGCAGGATTTTACCGTATTTTTAATATACGGTAAAATTCTGGCAACCACAGCTGCCAGCTTTTTACCGTATTTGCTAAATGCAGGATTTTACCGTATTTTTAATATACGGTAAAATTCTGGCAACCACAGCTGCCAGCTTTTTACCGTATTTGCTAAATGCAGGATTTTACCGTATTTTTAATATACGGTAAAATTCTGGCAACCACAGCTGCCAGTTTTTTTACCGTATTTGCTAAATGCAGGATTTTACCGTATTTTTAAAATACGGTAAAATTCTGGCAACCACAGCTGCCAGTTTTTTACCGTATTTGCTAAATGCAGGATTTTACCGTATTTTTAAAATACGGTAAAATTCTGGCAACCACAGCTGCCAGTTTTTTACCGTATTTGCTAAATGCAGGATTTTACCGTATTTTTAATATACGGTAAAATTCTGGCAACCACAGCTGCCAGTTTTTTACCGTATTTGCTAAATGCAGGATTTTACCGTATTTTTAATATACGGTAAAATTCTGGCAACCACAGCTGCCAGTTTTTTACCGTATTTGCTAAATGCAGGATTTTACCGTATTTTTAATATACGGTAAAATTCTGGCAACCACAGCTGCCAGTTTATTACCATATTTTGTAAATGCAGGATTTTACCGTATTTTTAATATACGGTAAAATACCGTACTTCCTAAAATATTTTAAAAAAAATAAAATGTGGTTTTGCCGTAGTAAATACGGTCATGCTGACTGAGGCATAATATCTCCATGAGTGAAAAACACATCCAGACTGGATGATATATTGACATTTTATTGTAAACCCTCCCCCCCAAAAAAAACTTATGGTAAATTACTGGTCTCTGTTCCTACCAGAATTTTACCATACAAATTATAGTACAACACACAAGGAAGTGTAACTTGTCAAGCATTTCTATACAGAAAGTTATAAAGAAAATAATTTCTAATTAAACAAAAATACAGATTACGAGTAATCCACTTAAAGAAACAATTTCTATTTAAAAAGTCAAGTTAAAAAAAGAACTGATTCTATTTTCTGTCCAGTTTCCTCACGGTATTACTGAGATCTGGAAAACAGAAACAAAACAAACAGTATGTGTCCACATAAGAGATAACATATTGTAGAAGACAAAATGGTGATAAAAGGATTCTTGTTCTGGGTTGAGAGTCACAAGTCGCTGAGATCAGACGTTGCTCAGGATGGTTGTAGTCTTCCCAGTCACAGGTTGAAATTGAGACTCGCATGTTGTCAATCGGGTGTTTCCTCTCTGCTGGAAAACAAAAAGAAAAAGTTAGAAAGATGCACTACATGAACATCTTATTCGCTTAAATGTTTGTTTCACCTTTGTTGACTTGCATATGGACACAGGTACTTCAACCAGGTGGTGCGATCATTTCTGACTGAAAATTCAGTAGTTAAACCTTTGTTTGTTGTCAACAGGTGTGATCCTCTGGTCTGCAACCAGACAAAATACACAAACAAAAAACAAATAAAAACAAATATAACTGTTTTAGGCAATTTATGAAATAGATACTCACCATTTATCTGAGTCTCATGAAGGCCAATAGGTTGTCTTCAACCATTTATGTAAGTTACATTTCCTGCAAGCTAGCAGAAACAAAGCTGTAAATGTGAACACTTTTCATACAGGCAAACAAATTGATACAGCTGAGACAATTTATGCTAGGTTAGTTTTTCTCAGTCACTTTTGGTGCATTTCTCAAGTCATTGTTGGCATTTACAAAACAGTAAGCGCATTTCTCAAAACAATTTGTAGAAACAGGAAAAATAGCATTTGTTTGCTTTCAAAATCCTTAGTTCAGCTCTTAAAATTCTGTCTGTTAACATATCAGTGACTCAAAATAATAAGTTATAGTCTCTCTATGTACAGATAAGACAGTCAAATTGATTAGTCATGAGAAGAGACTACAAAAGGATCATTTACGCCAGTGTTTCTCAACCCTGCTCCTCACCACCCCCTGCTCTGCATGTTTTAGATGTGCCTCTACTCCAGAACAGCTGATTCAAATGATTGGATGACAATCAAGTACTGCAGAAGCTTGTTAATCATCCAGAGATACAATTCAGGTGTGTGGCAGAAGGGAAATACCTAAGCCTGCAGGACAGGGTGACGCTGAAGACCAGGATTGAGAAACACTGATTTACGCTTTTGCTATAATTTATTCATGGACCATGCCTTGGTGATTCAGAAAGAAAAAGACAGAAATGCAGAGAACAAAAAAAGTAGAAAAGGAGCCACAGGACAATCTCCTCAAGGAAAACTGTACAGTGCTGTAGAAATTACATTACATTTTAATTTCCATAGTCACTTTGTTCCTTAACTCCACTGAGGATCTTTTTTCCTCAGTGGGGTTAAGGAATGAACAGTAGGGTGGGAGGACCTCCATCAGCGTCATGTTGTGGGTCTCAGCCATGTCCTGATGTTGGACTGATGGAAACTGGCAGATGTCCTCAGCCTCTTCTGACTCTTCTTCTGCTTTCCTCCCAACTATTTCCTCCTCAGCCTCACTCCTCTTCTTCTCTCTGGCTGTTCACTCTGTCCAGATACTTGTTCATCAGTTCTCAGACATGTAACATTGTGTTGTGTTCTGACTATATAGAGCATAATGTTGCCAACTGATGGTTCACAAGATGCACCTCCAATCTGTTTCAGAAAACTGGTTGATCGTTGGTTGAGCTAATGGTTCATACACTGACCTGTTAGAGAAACTCAGGACTCACTTGGGAGCAATTTACCAATTCAGGACAGATTTAGAAAATAATAGAATATAAATTAATTAATATATGATTCACATTATGACAACTTTAAGACTTATGCATGTTAAGACTTACACAATGAACTGATGCTATTTTGGAAGTTGAGAATTCAACACAGACACGTTGTTGTCCTGTTGTCCTCATTTTCTGTATACACCCTTTATCCTCCGGGTCAAAATGACCCGTCTTCACTAAACCCCCAATATAAGCAGCTTAATTGAATTTTAAACACCAAATTCTATCTTGTATATTGTCACTCACCACAAAATGTGTGAATACTTGAGTTTTCCCTCTCCACTTGAATTTCTATAGCTTAAGAAAAAAAATGTGCAAAATGAGTTTCGAATGCATTTTTATTCATCACAGTGACTAATTTTCTTTTACTTTTCTCCAGTGAACAAGAGGATGTACAATACAAAAATATGAAAAATAACATAACCCATTCAACTAATTGGCACATGTAGGGCAGTATGCAAGTGCACAGTCTTTGCAGATATATTTCTTACACCTGCAGCACACAGTATGTGTTTTACAGTCTGAGGGCAGAACTGACATCTCTTCCTCTTACTTGGCTTAGCTGGGGAAGTGGCTGTGGTAGATGGATCCTCAGGTTGATCAGGAGCTGCTGCACTCTGAATAGCTTTCACAACTGCTGCTGAGGCTTCTGTGCGGGGGACATGCTTCCTTCTTTCAATGAGTGGAGTTACAAGTGCCTTTCCTAGCTGCTCCAGGAACACCCTCCTCTTGTTGTGCTTATGAGACATCCAGGTTGGGTTGATCTCTATCCAAATCACAAAGGCATTGTAGGAGGACACATCAATGATGTTGTGGAAGATGACCAGGGGCCAGCGGGCAGTCATTCTTCTGCAGCTATATGCTCCAATCACCTTATCTAGGTTGTCCACACCTCCTTTGTTTCGGTTGAATTCCAGGATAATGATTGGCTTCCTGTCCTCACGGTCACTAGTGTCGCCGTCTTTGTGCAGTGTGCTCAGAAGAACTACATTCTTGTTTTTCTTTGGGAGGTAGGAAACTAGAGTGGTGGTGGGTGTGAAGGCAAACTTTGAGGAGAAGACCTCTCTCTCCTTTGACCCAAGCAGTGCAGGTGGGAGCTCAGGCTTGTTCTTTCGAACTGTACCAACCATGGTGATCTTCCTCTTCAGGAGCTGCTGTCCGAGTTCATAAGAGTTGAAGAAATTGTCACATGTCACATTGTGACCCCTCAGTCCCTCTGTCACATCAAGCACAACTCGCAACCCCTGGTTCTTCTCTGGGCATCCACTGGTTGACTTCCCAGTATAGACTTGCATTTTCCAAGCATAGCTTGATTCGGAAGCCACCCATGACTTGATCCCATATTTTGCTGGCTTGCTGGGCATATACTGCTGGAAAGGACAACAACCTTTGGACAAAAGACATTAGCATCAGTGATTAGTATCAGTGTCACAGAAAACAAAGAAATCAATAGTGAAAATCACTTTTATTACAAATATGAAAACAGATTACCTCTAAATGGAACCAGTTGCTCATCCACTGTTACATCAGGCTCTGGATTGTAGAGGTAGGGTAACCGCTCCACCCACTTGTCCCATACCTCTCTTATGGCTGCAAGTTTGTCTGTCATACATCTTGCTGGTCTTGATTCACGGTCATCAAATCGCATCAGTCTTGAGTAGGTGTGAAAGAGTTTGAGTGGCATTGTGGCTCGGAAAATTGGCCTTCCACTCTCTGCTTACTTCTGCTACTGATTGATCTGAGACACAACTAAAACTTTGTAACATTTTATGGTTTGTAAATAACTCTGTGACCTTGATTTCAACTCCATTTGCCTCACGGGTCATTTTGACCTGAAGACCATCTTTGTACCTTTTTTTGTACAGCTTACATGGAAATGAGACTAAAAGCAACACTGAACTTTTTCTATTGTCTGGGCCAATCTAGGAAAAGTCTTAAAATCTCAAGTTAAAAAAATTACATTTAGGGGATTTTGGGGGGGGGGGTTAACACAGTGGCGGGTCATTTTGACCCGAGGACAACAGGAGGGTTAACATATTTTGATCAAGACGATAAAAGCAAATTACAATTATAAAAGCATAGAAGTGTACATAACCAGCTACATGATGTACAAAAGCAAAACTTGCAAAACTAATTTTTTGATGTGCAGAAGTGACACAGTAATTTGAAGATTGAACAGGTAGTTTTAGGAATTTCAATTCTGTTCTGAGAGATGCACCCAAACTGAGAAAAGCTGTAAAATATTAATATTTAAATTCTCTTATTTTAAAATCCTTCAACTGTCATGGACCCAGTGACTTTAGTGCAAGTATTTTGGGGGTGAGAGTCAAGACGTCAAAGGAAAATATTAAATAATATCTCTGATGCCAAGCTTTATACTTCTAAGTATTACCAAAGTATTGAAACAAAAGCTAACATGTTCTTCAGAGATTTAACTTGCATGCATGAACATTTCACACTCAAAGTAATTCAAATTAATTATTGAACCAAACTTGGAAAAAGTTGCTTCTGCCATTAACAATAACTTTAAGCACATGTAGTCTAAAGTAGACCAGAAATATAATCTATGCAGCCGTTCCTACAGAAACATTAATGGAAGTGTTGCATCTGTGAAGATTAAATGTTCCGTATAGTAAAAATATATAGCTGCAGTGCATATACATAAACAGCATGGCTCAGAAACTACACATTTCTTTGTCAGTTGGTTAAAGTTAGCTAACTTCAGTTAAAACCGTGAAAGGGACTCACCTGTGATGTGTTGCCCTTCTCCTCCTGAACGTGCAAAAATAGCAGAAATTTGATTTCAAAGACAGTAGCAGCATCTTGACAAGGACCAGGCCTACTGGGCTCTCAGCACCCTAGTTAGCAACCTTAGTTAGCACAGTGACTTTACTGTGTTGAGTTCAGGACACCACTACAGGAACAGAGTTAAAAGAATCTTGCTGCTGATGCTGAAGGATCAAGCAGCAATGCAAACTAGATAATTATTTGTTTACATGACAAATAACAGTCTCCATTTACTGTAAACCCTGCTATTTATCACAATAACAAAATGAAAAACTCTCTAGACAAGGGGTCCCCAAACTACAGCCTGTGTCATTTGGTCTGGCAATGCTGGATCCGGCCTGCCTCCTCATACCAGAGAGCATTCAGTGTATTTTTTTCATATATTGTATTTTCTGGTTTGTGGATTTTTCTTCAACCACCAGGGGGCTCTTGAGCAGATGTTAAACTAACTTTCCCTCAAATATATACTAGTCAGTCCCAGTCACCGTTTCACTCACGGTTTTTTCCATTTCCATTCTGGGTAAAAATCTATCTAAAAGCGACCGCGAATGTGTCGTAGTCAGCAATACCCCCCCCCCCGGCGACAGTTTCAAAGACGGAACAGCACACACCGACACCCCCCTTAGTATTCTCTACTAATAGCACAATATTTAAAACCAAGTGTGGGATTTGTGAAACTTCAATGATGGGTGACTTTACAACTTGTATGATTTTGGATAACACTAGAATTGTTCTTTATTGAAGTTTCACAAATCAGATAAAGGTTTTACAAACCCCACACTTGGTTTTAAATATTCTGATATGAGTTGAGAATAATCTAGTCCAGATTTGAAGAGTCTAGGTGTTGTAGTTTTTTAGCTAGAGTAAATTAAAGATGCTGATTGTAGTGAAAAATTAGGTGGAATTGCCCTTTAGCCATTTCCCAAATTGGAAGCAGCAATTGGAAACCAACTTCAGCTTCATTCAAGCAAGAGGGGCTAACATACAGTTCTCTTAATGTTAATGATCAAATACTCTCATAAGTGATGGTGGCGTTGGCTGTAGGAGTTTGCTTTGCAATCGGTGGATCGCCAGATCGATGCCTGGTCTACTGCTGAGATTTCAGTTTGGTGTATTAAAGGCATTATTAAAAAAGAAATCAGAATATCACACCAGCATTCTGTTCTTTGTAAAAAATTCTTTTGCAGTCTTGTTTACGCTTTTACATTGTAGATCTAAACATCAGCAAAATTTGTAATTTTGGCTGATTGCTACTGTTAAGTTTAGGGTAATTAACTGCTGGCAATATTACAATTTTTTAAGAACTTTACAATTACTTATATTTTTACACTATATTTCTGTATTTTCTACATTCGTGACTGTCACAATTATTTAGGATATATATTTATTCAGTTATGATAATGCCATGTATTTTCTACGGCAGTATAATGCTGTGAATATTCTGGTCAGTAACTGCTGGCATTTTACAATTTTTTACCGTAAATTTACTGACTTACAGTGCAATTTTGTATGGGTTTCAATGATTGTCATATTTATTGATAGCCAAAAGAATCATTAGTTGCAGTCCTGGCTGAGATATTAATGGAGCATCTAAATTAAATGAATCTACAATTTTAAAATAAATAATACAAGTCACTCTTCTCTCATTTTACTGAACTAAAGGAACAGCCTCTCACAATGATGGAAAAAAAAGTAGCTGTTGTCTTGAACTTGTCTACATATTCAGGCATTTATAATTACCGCAAAACATACAGCAAGCCTGTTAAAATAAATTCAATAGATCCTAAAACTAACAGGATCCTGTCAGGTGCCAAGTAGTTGGATCTGAATCTTTCACTCGAGTTGAAGGAAAATAGCACACTGGTGCTTGTCTGCACTTCTCCTTCAGAATACCTGGGTTCGATCGTCGGCACGTGGTCAAGATTAAATCTCTTCTGTTTTTGTCCTATGTTCTTGGTATTAAAGACAACTACGTCCTTATGTAAATTATATTCCGGACCTTTTTAGACAAGAGACCTCCCACCGTCAGACTGCATCATAACTAAACCGCAGTTAACATATCAAGCAACTTGGGTAATCGATTGCAACCGCTGTCCCGCTTGTGCTTAAATACTCAACAGAAAATGGAGAACTCTGTGTTTACGTAAGGATTGACGGTACATGTAAATTCTGTTAGTGGTGTAATATTTACGCACGATTTGATTGTTTTGAACGACACATTTTCATGGACACTAGGACTCAAGTCTCAGTGAGTGTAATGCTCTTCACACACTGTAGCTGCTATTATTCTATTTCTTTTTATTTAATCGGCGAATGAACAAAACACTGCGTATGGTCCTTACTCTGTTTATAAAACATGTCATGGGGACACATGAAGATGAGTGGGGAGGAGCGATCTTGTACGGGTGACGTCACTCAGAAACAATTCTCTGTTAGCCTAAACATGCAGTACCCTTGCGGTGGCTCAGAAGTAACACACAACTCATGAACAGAGAAGGTTCTTGACGCGGTAGTCACAGGTTCAAGTTTAGGTCTCACCACCCAAGATGCATGTCTTCACCCTCCCTCATTACCATTTACTGGTCCTATCAGACCACGTTCAATGAACGGTCACCAGAGCTTCTATTTATCTTAGAAATGTTGACTAGAACAGGATTCCCGAGGTAGGGAGTCGAAAGATGATTTTGAAAATCATTGTGATGTGACCCCTGAAAGGTATGGACAGTGGCGCAAAAAGTGGGTATGCAGCGTATGCAACGCATAGGGGCGCAGCATCCACCTGAATAATGTGCAGTTGCGCCACTGGGTATGGAGAACCTTATGAGTAAAAACAGAAAGCTTGAATGAATAGCTATGAATAAATATATTAATATTTCCCAATAAATGATTAAATAATGAAAGCAATTATTTTGCTAAGCAACTGTGTTGCATTGTTTTAAAATGCTTATGATTGAGTCACCCTATAACTATTTACTAAATACAATATATAGATTTATAAGCAGAACATTTTGAGAACCCCTGCACTACAAGTCAATAGAAGAGAGTAATATATTTTAAGATGTATTTGTAGAAATCAATTATTGTAATGTAGTTCTATGCAACATTTTGCTGATTAACTTCAACAAACTTTGTAATTTGGGAAATTAGTACCATTGATTATTAATTACTGGTAAAGAATACAATTTTTCTATGGATTTTACCATTTCTATTATTTTTACAATCCTTTTTTTTATTGCTCATGACTGTCAAAAATTCATGATATATATGTGTATTGACTTACGGTAGTTCCATGTAATTTCTACGGTAATGCAATGTTTTTGGATACGACGGTCAAAAACTGTTGGTCTTTTACCATTTCTTACCGTAAATTTACTGACTTTCTTTGCAGTTTCGACTTACGGTAGTTCCATGTAATTTCTACGGTAATGCAACGTTTTTGGATACGACGGTCAAAAACTGTTGGTCTTTTACCTTTTTTTACCGTAAATTTACTGACTTTTTTTACAGTGTACACAAATAGATTTTTTGTAAAGCATAATGTAATGCATCCGTGTTGAAACAACACGGATGCATTACATTTAAGCATGTCTGTATTCAATTATTAATGAACAGGGTTCCTGCAGCATAAGGAAAGTTAAATTCAAGACTTTTTAAGACTTTTTAAGACTTTTTAATGTCACTTGAAATAAAAATTTAAGACCAAATTCACAAGAAACAGAAAAGGGGGGAAAAAATAAAGGGGAAAGAAGAGGAAAAAAGGAAAAAAAGGAAGGGAAGGGGCAGTTTAAAAGCATGAGAGGTAAAACAAAAAACAAAGAAGAAAAGGGGAACATTTAGAGAAACTGAAAAGGGGCAAAGAGAGGGGAAAAAAGAGAAGAGAAGAAAACAAGAAGGACATGAAACAGGCGAAACCAAAGAAGGGGAAAAAGGACAGAAATAATACGGAAAGGGAAACAACAGGAACAAATTTTTAAACAGAGAGAAAAACAGAGAAAAGTGGTATTGACAAGGAGAGGAACAGGAGCAAGGCGAAGAGGGGCAAAGGGGCAAAACTAGAAAACGAAGAGGACACGGGAAGTTCCAGAAACGGAAATCAGAAGAGGATACGGAGGTAAAAGGTGGCCACAAGGGAAACATGAAAGTGAAAAAAAGGGGAGGAAAGAAGAGGACCGGGAAACAAACAGGAGAACAAAAGGGGAGCGACAAAAAGGAAAGGGAGCAGAAAAGGAAAGAAACAAGACTGAGACTTTAAGACAAGCACGAAATAAAAAAAGGGACAAATTCCAAGAAGACAAAGAAGACAAAGGGACAAAACAAAGGAATAACAAAACAGCGAAGGCAAAGGGAAAAAGGAAGGAAAGAAAGCAAAAAAAACAAAAGGACAGAAAGAAAAATTAAGGAAACAAGGCAGGGACAAAAGAACAGAAAGGACAAAGAGGCAAGCAAAGCAGCAATTTCGAGGCAAGAGGTTGAGGGAAAGGGGTGGAGGGGCAGAGAAAGGGGACAGAGAAAAATAGGCAGAAAAGGCCAGGGGTGCGCAGGGGGACAAGCCAACCCAGTCTGAAGGCGAAGGACCGAAAAGCCACGAGAGGGAGCTGGAGCAGGAGGAAAGACCGGGGGAGGACGGGTTTGGAGGACAGAAAGAGACAAAAAAAGAGGAGACAAAGAGGGGGACAACGTTTTTGCACAAAGGGGGACAGAGGAACCCAAAAGGGAGGGGTCTCAATTTTAAAAAAGAAAGACAAAATTTTAAGAAAACAAAAAACAGAGATAAAAAAACAAAGAGCAAAAAAAAAGCCAAGAAAGGGAAAGGTTACACAAATAACCCAAAGAGGCCAGAGGAAGGAACAAGAAGGGGAAAAAGGAGAGGAACGAAAAGGAAAAAGAAGCAAAAGGGGGCAAATGAAAAAAAACCCCCAAAGGAAGGCAAAGAGAAGGGAAAAGCGAGGACAGAAAGGAGGCCCCGAGGGGCCAGAAGAGGAGGCCAGAGAAGGAGGAAAGGAGGACAGAGAGAGGAGGACAGAGAGGAGGACAGAGAGAGGAGGACAGAGAGAGGAGGACAGAGAGAGGAGGACAGAGAGAGGAGGACAGAGAGAGGAGGACAGAGAGAGGAGGACAGAGAGAGGAGGACAGAGAGAGGAGGACAGAGAGAGGAGGACAGAGAGGAGGACAGAGAGGAGGACAGAGAGGAGGACAGAGAGGAGGACAGAGAGAGGAGGACAGAGAGAGGAGGACAGAGAGGAGGACAGAGAGAGGAGGACAGAGAGAGGAGGACAGAGAGAGGAGGACAGAGAGGAGGACAGAGAGAGGAGGACAGAGAGGAGGACAGAGAGAGGAGGACAGAGAGAGGAGGACAGAGAGAGGAGGACAGAGAGAGGAGGACAGAGAGGAGGACAGAGAGGAGGACAGAGAGAGGAGGACAGAGAGAGGAGGACAGAGAGGAGGACAGAGAGAGGAGGACAGAGAGAGGAGGACAGAGAGAGGAGGACAGAGAGAGGAGGACAGAGAGGAGGACAGAGAGAGGAGGACAGAGAGAGGAGGACAGAGAGGAGGACAGAGAGAGGAGGACAGAGAGGAGGACAGAGAGGAGGACAGAGAGAGGAGGACAGAGAGAGGAGGACAGAGAGGAGGACAGAGAGAGGAGGACAGAGAGGAGGACAGAGAGAGGAGGACAGAGAGAGGAGGACAGAGAGGAGGACAGAGAGAGGAGGACAGAGAGAGGAGGACAGAGAGGAGGACAGAGAGAGGAGGACAGAGAGGAGGACAGAGAGGAGGACAGAGAGAGGAGGACAGAGAGAGGAGGACAGAGAGGAGGACAGAGAGGAGGACAGAGAGAGGAGGACAGAGAGAGGAGGACAGAGAGGAGGACAGAGAGAGGAGGACAGAGAGGAGGACAGAGAGGAGGACAGAGAGAGGAGGACAGAGAGGAGGACAGAGAGAGGAGGACAGAGAGGAGGACAGAGAGGAGGACAGAGAGAGGAGGACAGAGAGGAGGACAGAGAGGAGGACAGAGAGAGGAGGACAGAGAGGAGGACAGAGAGAGGAGGACAGAGAGGAGGACAGAGAGAGGAGGACAGAGAGGAGGACAGAGAGAGGAGGACAGAGAGAGGAGGACAGAGAGGAGGACAGAGAGAGGAGGACAGAGAGAGGAGGACAGAGAGGAGGACAGAGAGGAGGACAGAGAGGAGGACAGAGAGGAGGACAGAGAGGAGGACAGAGAGAGGAGGACAGAGAGGAGGACAGAGAGAGGAGGACAGAGAGAGGAGGACAGAGAGAGGAGGACAGAGAGAGGAGGACAGAGAGAGGAGGACAGAGAGAGGAGGACAGAGAGGAGGACAGAGAGAGGAGGACAGAGAGAGGAGGACAGAGAGAGGAGGACAGAGAGGAGGACAGAGAGGAGGACAGAGAGAGGAGGACAGAGAGGAGGACAGAGAGGAGGACAGAGAGAGGAGGACAGAGAGAGGAGGACAGAGAGAGGAGGACAGAGAGAGGAGGACAGAGAGAGGAGGACAGAGAGGAGGACAGAGAGGAGGACAGAGAGGAGGACAGAGAGAGGAGGACAGAGAGGAGGACAGAGAGGAGGACAGAGAGAGGAGGACAGAGAGAGGAGGACAGAGAGGAGGACAGAGAGAGGAGGACAGAGAGAGGAGGACAGAGAGGAGGACAGAGAGGAGGACAGAGAGGAGGACAGAGAGAGGAGGACAGAGAGAGGAGGACAGAGAGGAGGACAGAGAGAGGAGGACAGAGAGGAGGACAGAGAGGAGGACAGAGAGGAGGACAGAGAGAGGAGGACAGAGAGGAGGACAGAGAGGAGGACAGAGAGAGGAGGACAGAGAGGAGGACAGAGAGAGGAGGACAGAGAGAGGAGGACAGAGAGGAGGACAGAGAGGAGGACAGAGAGAGGAGGACAGAGAGGAGGACAGAGAGAGGAGGACAGAGAGGAGGACAGAGAGGAGGACAGAGAGAGGAGGACAGAGAGAGGAGGACAGAGAGAGGAGGACAGAGAGGAGGACAGAGAGAGGAGGACAGAGAGGAGGACAGAGAGGAGGACAGAGAGAGGAGGACAGAGAGGAGGACAGAGAGAGGAGGACAGAGAGAGGAGGACAGAGAGAGGAGGACAGAGAGGAGGACAGAGAGGAGGACAGAGAGGAGGACAGAGAGAGGAGGACAGAGAGAGGAGGACAGAGAGAGGAGGACAGAGAGGAGGACAGAGAGAGGAGGACAGAGAGGAGGACAGAGAGGAGGACAGAGAGAGGAGGACAGAGAGGAGGACAGAGAGGAGGACAGAGAGAGGAGGACAGAGAGAGGAGGACAGAGAGGAGGACAGAGAGAGGAGGACAGAGAGAGGAGGACAGAGAGAGGAGGACAGAGAGAGGAGGACAGAGAGAGGAGGACAGAGAGAGGAGGACAGAGAGGAGGACAGAGAGAGGAGGACAGAGAGGAGGACAGAGAGAGGAGGACAGAGAGGAGGACAGAGAGAGGAGGACAGAGAGAGGAGGACAGAGAGAGGAGGACAGAGAGGAGGACAGAGAGAGGAGGACAGAGAGAGGAGGACAGAGAGGAGGACAGAGAGAGGAGGACAGAGAGGAGGACAGAGAGGAGGACAGAGAGAGGAGGACAGAGAGAGGAGGACAGAGAGGAGGACAGAGAGGAGGACAGAGAGAGGAGGACAGAGAGAGGAGGACAGAGAGAGGAGGACAGAGAGGAGGACAGAGAGAGGAGGACAGAGAGAGGAGGACAGAGAGAGGAGGACAGAGAGGAGGACAGAGAGGAGGACAGAGAGGAGGACAGAGAGGAGGACAGAGAGAGGAGGACAGAGAGGAGGACAGAGAGGAGGACAGAGAGAGGAGGACAGAGAGGAGGACAGAGAGAGGAGGACAGAGAGAGGAGGACAGAGAGGAGGACAGAGAGGAGGACAGAGAGAGGAGGACAGAGAGGAGGACAGAGAGGAGGACAGAGAGAGGAGGACAGAGAGAGGAGGACAGAGAGAGGAGGACAGAGAGGAGGACAGAGAGGAGGACAGAGAGAGGAGGACAGAGAGAGGAGGACAGAGAGGAGGACAGAGAGGAGGACAGAGAGAGGAGGACAGAGAGGAGGACAGAGAGGAGGACAGAGAGGAGGACAGAGAGGAGGACAGAGAGGAGGACAGAGAGGAGGACAGAGAGGAGGACAGAGAGGAGGACAGAGAGCTCTGGGAGAGGTCTTCTGGAATATCAGAGAGGAGAAAATCATAAAGGAGGAGCTGAAAGAGCAGCTTGAAACACACTCAGCTAGAATAAATAATAAATTTGGAAAAAGATTTTTTTAAGTGTAAAATAAACTTTATTAATGCATTCCCTTTTCCCCGCTGACCACGTGGAGCCGATATGAATGCATCTTTAGAACTCCTATTACAGAATGGATGGTGATATTTTCAAGCCCATTTCTGTGACACACACAGAGTATCAGATATTCTGAAGACATTTCCATTTCTAAAGTGCAGCAGTGATCAAATTTAAACATAGTGATCAGATTTAAACATAATACTGAGATGATTTACAGTTTTTTCTAACATTCTGCTTTTTCCTCCATTTTCCTCATCAGTTCATCAGTGTGGTGGCGGTGGGGAAGAAGCTGCTGCAGAACCTGCTGGTCCTGCATTGAATGCTGGGAAGCCTCTTCCCAGAGGGCAGCATGGTGGGGGGGTGAGGGGTCATTGATGATGCTGAACCATCTGATCAGGTCTATCACCTGCTCACTGTGAGGAACAGCGGGGGTCTGATGGTTCATTCTAAGGCTGCAGTAACAGCAGTGAGATCAGCTGAGCGTTCTGTTCACCAGATGATGTCAGGACACCCTGAGAATGTAGACCTCATCTGTCAGGATGTCCATGTGGCTTAAAGCTCTCCCCACAGCCGCTTAGCGAGCAGTGAAGTAGAAGGTCTGGAGCTTACCCTGACACATGAACGAATCTACCCCCAATACTCGTGCAGGACGCCATGCCTGGAAGCTACCCACTGCTATGCTACGTTCACACCTGAAGCAGCAGGAGCAGCTAAAACGTCCTGCTTCCTTTCTGATGCTTGTACCAGTTTAGTTCTGATGCGCGGCTGAAGCATCTTTGCTGCTCTAGCTGCGCGGTGGTAAAGTGGGTCTGATGCGCGGTGGGCGGAGCTACTCTATCCTTTCTCTGCCTGGAACAATGGCGGCTATATTAGCTGTGATCAGCGGGTAGAAAGTAGTTAGAATCTATGTTGAAGTGAGAAAGTCCTCCTGAAAACATGGTCTGTGCAGTCAGTTCATCCAGATTACCATCCTGCCTTCAAAGATTATTTCTCTGTGGGAGCCGCTCAGACCCCCACATACCGGCGCTGCGCTGTCACTGGGAATCCCCAGCAGCAGCTGCCTCAGGCCCGCTCGCCTCTCCAGGGTTTTCCCCTCCTGTTGGTGGCGGCTGGAAGTAGATGTTAGCGTTTTTCAGGTCTGTGCTACAAACTGCAGGCAGCAGGATAATAAAAGCCAACATATTCTGCCGGCAGGTTTCTACATTTGAAGTTAATTTAGGCGTTAATAAACTGTTTCAGAGGAGTGATCATAGCGCTCTGCATCAGCAGTGCTGCGTCTGACTCCCTGCCAGCTCCCAGATCAGAGACGCGCTGCTCCTGCTGCTCTAAACGCTCTGCGGGACCTTTTGCAGCGCTGTGATGCACGTCAACCATCGACTTTGCATGTAAACTATCTGCTTTTTCTGCCTCTGCTGCTTTTGGTGTGAACGTTGCATTATTTTGCTTTTAGCTTGTGTCAGGAGCACTCGACCTCGGCTTGTTTCATTCTCCATCTCATCTGAACACCTCCAGAGACAGCATGCATGTTCATGTGTTTTGCAGGCGTTGGTTTGAGGGGTGGTCTGAAGGGAGAGGTATTGTTGTGTAAGTTAAAAAGCTTGCTGGAACCATTTTTCCAAGATCTCCTACGGCACCCTTAATGGAAAAGATGACCAGAATAGTCACAGTTTATAAAACTATTTCAGCCCTGCAGTAACAGGGCCAGGTTAGATTCCTTTAACTATTTTTATTATTTACCAGAATAAAGTCAGGAGAATGAAGCCAAATGGATACAAAAATAAACTGTAATATTACAAAAATAACAATATCACAAATATAAAGTATATTGTGAGCTTAAAGTCCCTCTGATAGTGTTTAAGAGTCTGAGTCTATCAGCAGATTTGCCCCATTCAACATGGCGGACGCTCTGACTCATCTGCAGCAGAAACAGACGCCTCCTCACCAGGGGTCCAGGTCTATGATGAAGGGCATGAAGCTGGCGGGAGAACAGGGCCTCTTTGTCAGAAAGATATCATGGTTGGTTTAGACACTTGTCAATCAAACATGTCTGACCAATAGAGAAGCACCCGCCCACTGCTACCTGAGCGAAGTTGCCCCCCCCCCCCCCCCCCCCCCCTCCCTTATTCAAATCAGACAAAATTAGTGTCAAACGTTTGTGCTGCAAAAATTTTCGTTTGTTCTGCTTTGGATTTGAAGATTTGAAAAAAGTGGGGGGGTGGTTGACCTTTGATGACCTTTAGAAACATATCTCTATATCTTTAAAATGAAAGCCGCCAAACGAAAATTTTTGCTGCACAAACGTTTGACACCAATTTTGTCTCATTTGAAGAAGGTGGGGGGGCTGGTTGACCTTTTGACCTTTACAATTTCATTATTATCTTCAAAGCCAAAGCAGCACAAACGACAATTTTTGCTGCACAAATGGAGCTGAGTTAATTGACCCCCAGTTCGTCTGATTTGAATAAGGGGGGGGCTGGTTGACCTTTGATGACCTCTAGAAATATTTCTTTATATCTTTAAAAGGATAGCGGCACAAACAGAAATCTTTAGTGCACAAACGTTTGACACTAATTTTGTGTGATTTGAATAAGGTGGTGGGGGGGGGCAACTTGACTCAGGTCCCACTGCTGGATGGTTGGGTCAAAATTATTCACTCAAAAAATAAAAACCACTTTAAAACTTTTTCACTTAAAAAAAGACCTCATCACTGAGTTATTTTTTTTGCATTTAAAAAGTTTTTCTTTGACTGAAAACATTTTGTTGATTCAAACACCTTTTTTATTGAATGATAAAACAGAAATGTCCTTCCCATGTTAGACCCACACACTGAATAGATGACTTCCATTGAACAGAACATTTTCAATAATAATATTAATAATAATAATAATCAGATGCATCTTTTAAAGTGTAATAATCCTGATCATCGTGGAGCTGCAGCTGATTCTGCTTCACTCTGGTCCCGCCTCCTCCCTCCTTTCATCACACTAATGTTTTATTTGTATTAAAAAAACTATTTTCTATTATTGAAATGTTTATCTTTTTATTGAAGTTACTTTTTTATTGATTTAGTTGTTTATGTGTTTAAAGCACCTTCTTTTTGATTGAATGATAAAGACTCAAATGTCTCCTCCCCATTATACGGTCCATTCACAGAATGTTAGTCCAATTAAAAAAGTTGCTTTAAAAAAATAATAAAACTTCTATTGAAAACATTTCCAGTCAGAGAAAAGCGGCGTTCAGCAGTGGAGTTTTTTGCTCTCAACTATATTTTTGCATTCAAATACTTTTTTCTTTGATTATATTTTGTTTTTTTCTTTAAAGTGAAGGTGTTTTTTATTGAAAACAGATTTTTTGAGTGAAGCAACCCTTTTTTAAATTGAATAATAAAGAAACTAATCTACCTTCATACTCTGAGTTAGATATTCAGTTATCAGATCTTAGATGATCCTGTCCTTCACTCTCAGCTCAAACCTGTGATTCCTTCCTAACAGCTGATATTCTAACAATCATCTCTATCTGAGGCTGTGATGGCGCCTCCTGCTGACTGATGAGTCATCAGCTGCAGCGTTTCTGATTGGCTGTTCCAGCCTCTGTTCTCCAGCCTCAGTGGATCAGATCATGTTCCTCACAGAGACTCTGGTCCATCAGGACCTTTACAGGCTGATTGTTTTCCTTACAGGCTGATTGTTTTCCTTACAGGCTGATTGTTTTCCTTACAGGCTGATTGTTTTCCTTACAGGCTGAGTGTTTTCCTTACAGGCTGATTGTTTCACTTACAGGCTGAGTGTTTTCCTTACAGGCTGATTGTTTTAGTTACAGGCTGATTGTTTTAGTTACAGGCTGATTGTTTTCCTCACAGGCTGA